TATTTGAATGAGAGAGAGGCGCACTCTTTCATCAACAGAAGAAGCAAGAAGGCTGTGTATAAGTTTTTGGTACTATGTACCACCTCTGTTATTCTTCTAGAGCTGAAGTATTCATGTACTTAAACCATATTCTATTTAATTGTGTTTGATTTTAAATATATATCTGAATTATATTTAAAATTGTGTCAACTTTCTGCTTTCAGGGCATTTATAGCTCTTCTATTAAAATTGTTGATTCTTCCAAATATTTCCATTTGCTTTACAAAAACCCAGAATATGAGCCACTACTGGACTTAGACCTAATGTTTTATGAGGCGTATGTTCTGTGACTAACTCATTTTGTTCTTTTAACAAAATATCTCCATCCATTTCACTTTGCTTCAATCTTTAAATTAAAGAAAAGAAACATAAAGGTCATAGGATAAAGTGTGGTTTTAGGTGACTCTTGCTGCCTCTGCATGTTTTGGAATAACAATTTCTATGAAGCTCTAGGCTATTTAAATTAATGCTTTTCATTAAGATACCATCTGATCAATTCTTCGTGTACATTTTGTGCTTCTGAGCTAAGGATGTTAGTAGTTGTAGGTTCTTCTGGGAAGAAGAGCAAGTTTGAGACTCGGTTACTTTGTCTGCCCACATGCCATGGGACACAAGCAGAATGTGACCTGAAATATTTGCCAGATTTAATATGTGACCTAAAGTAGATCCTTGTACTTACCTTGATTACCCACTGTGTTTCAGGCTACGTGCAGTGCGCCCACAAAATGTGGTTCCCGCCCCAGCCCGTTTGGCTCAGTAGGTAGAGCACCCGGGTTCGATTCCTGTCAAGGGTGCGTACCTCGGTTGTAGGCTCCTCCCCGGCCCAGGCCCTGGTCAGGCTTGTGCAGGAGACAGCCAATCTATGTGTTTCTATCACATCAATATTTCTATCTTTCCCTCTCTCCTCCACTCTCTAAAAATCAATGGAAAAATATCCTTGGGTGAGGATTTAAAAAAAAAAAAAAAAGATTCCCTGGCAGGGTTTTTATAGGTTCAAGGAATTAGTTAAATATCCATCCTTATGTTGTTGAGATCAATGCATATTGTTAGGAAAATAGTTAGTGAGAAAGTGATAGCTTTTGCAACTTGATCTATCCTTATCACTCCTGAAAGATTTGATAAAAGTAAGAAGCAAATGTGAACCCAGTCCAGTGAAGAGCAATAAGCAGGAAGCAATACTCTGTAGCTTTCTACTTGGCTTCAGGATTCAGTAGAGCTTTATGAAATGTAAGTAATGTACGGAACTGGAACTTTGACTAGTTCAGGAGGAATTTGGAGGGGGAGGTCACTGAATCGTAGAAAGTTACATACTTTGCTGTTTCATTTAAGTACTGATAGCTAAGCACCTGAAGTGGCTGACCTCACTCTAATGACTTCGTTTGGGGTGCCTGCCTGGCTCACCTGGACCCTGCCCTCACTCTGACAGGAGTGGGGACCATGTTCGCATACACTGACCTTTTCCCTCCCCTCTCCCACGTAGCAGTCAGTTGGACCAGGGTTGAACCCCTATCCAAACATGCCCAAGAAAATTCTTTATCTTAAGAATTTTGCAGGGGGAATAAGGGATACCAGACACCATCTTAAAAGTTAGGTAGGACACTTTAGCCAGCACTGCAAGGACAGGCAGAGAGGTTTAGAAGTAGAAATACAGAGAGAAAGGGGTCTGAAAAGCAGCCGCCCTGGGAGCCCCGAGGACTTGCTGGGGTCTGGATCCAGCCCGAGAGCCTTGCTGTGGACTCCACTAACCCCTCAGGCAGCCTGAGAATGAATTTTGGCTTTTTGAAATCAGTCTAAAATGAGCTTTCGTTGCATGCACTCAAAGAAGGCCCTTGGTAAAATGCTACCAGGCTGCTCTATGACTGTGTCTGCCAAGGACCACTGAATTGTGGAGAATATGTCCTTAGTAGATCTTGGTCATTTTGTGTATTCTCTCCAAATGGAGTCCTAAACTAGTAGAACTAAAAGACACTCCCTCTTTTGCAGGGACAAGTTCCTCGGGCCCAGGAAAAGGGTGAGTCCTTGCCCTGTTGTGGGATAGTCCCCATTAGCACTCAGGCCTTTCATATTTCCCAGCATCCTTCTGAAGGACAAACCATCGCCACTTTTAGCAACTGTAATAACCCCCACAAAGTAGAGGGCATTTCTATTAATGTGTAACTGATACAAACTTAAAATGGTGGAGGGCATAATTAGAAAATTCGTAAATGCTAATCAAGGTCTCTGGCCATTAGCTGAGAGGACGTAAATCCCAGCAAAACCCTTCGAGGTTGCAACTCAGACCCACACGGACAGTCACTCTGTGAGCACTGTGGCACTGAGGAGGCCTCTGCTTAGGGAGGATTGGGGTTGGCTCCTAGTAGGAAGTTTGGTACGATGGCTTTGGGACATGTGGAAATGGCCATGGAGGGCATCGGAGGGACCAGTGGCAGCAAAGGTCTGGGAGCATTTGTGTTCAGAGGCAGAAACTATCTTGCCTGTCACACAGGGTGGTGTTTCTGCCTTCGTTATTTTGTGCAAACATCAAACCACCTAGTCAGGCACGGGCAGGGTGTTGGATCTCATCTGGAATAAACAAGCCCCTGCCTCAGGGTGATAATGCATCTACCCCACCCTACCCCCCGACACCGGCACCTACAGGAGCACAGGGTGGGCAGCTGGGCCCTCTGTGGGGTGGGCACGATGCCTAGGAAGAGTAGGCTTAAGTTCAGCGTGAAGGGAGCCGGGATTTGCCAAGGAACAAGTGCCAGGGTCCCTGTCTTGAATGTACCTTTGGGCTCACCCCTAAATGATTCCAAGCCGGCCTTTGCCTGCGTCACAGTAAGAGTCCCACATGCCACTCACCTCGTGAAAAAGGCTCTAGCCGAGGAGCACCTGGGCCGCCAACTGATGTGGGCGGCTCTGAGCAGGGCCAAGCCTCGTGGGCTCACCGGAGTCCCAGTGCTCCTCCCCGGCCTGAGGTTTGGCAAAGAGCAACCTTTGTTCCTTTGGGTGACAAAACCACTGGTTTAGCAAGTGCTCACGCTCTCAGAAGTATGTTAATGTCTACTAAGTGCCAGGCGTGGTGCAAGGACACGAGAAGCAGTAAAACGAACTCCCAGGCCACTTGGAGCTCCCATTCTACAGAGGAGGAGATAAAAGTTGGAAGTTCCATCAAAAATGTGTGCTGGCATTTTTGACTCAAAATGACTTCTTGAGCCTGTTATTCAACACCCTGTCCTTCCAAAGTCCTCCTGGAAGTCATCAGGTTTTCCTAACCCTTCGGGAGACCTTCAGGGAGAGGGCTCCATCATTCCGTGACCTCTGACCTCACCCTTTTTCGGCACCTGCCTTCCAGAGCCCCTCAGGACCCATTGCTGTGCCGCTCCGTTTGCTCACTCAAGACCAGACACTCGGCGCTGAGCCCTGGTTGACAGTAAGAGGTGGCACCTTGCTGTCGGAGACTGAATGGTGGCAAGTCTCTCTGCACAGGGTAAGGCTTAGAGGAGGCCACGGACCGTCTCAGCCCCGGGCTCTGCAGGGGGAGGGGGCCTGTGAATTCTTAGGAACTACCAATAAGACCTTTGAAGTTAGTCTCTGCATGTGATTCAAAGTCTTGGCCTTGGGGAAACCTAGCTAGCTATTGAGCTAATGCCATGCGGTGATGGGCTCCTGAGCCTACTTTAATGCTGACAGTGATAACCAGCATAACAGTGCGTACTGTGTGTCAAGCACCATCTCACCTGACCCGTGTGGCAATGTTAATGGTGCTTTTC